ATCTGCTGCTGCTGCTGCGCCGCTGCAGCAGCAGCAGCAGCAGCAGCAGCAGCAGCAGCAGCAGTTTGTTTTCTTTTTGCTTCTAGGACCGGGGGCAGTCTATCCTGTGGTGGGGGTATGGGTCCCCCCCTCTTATAAAGAGCCAGTATAGTGCGGCGAACGAGTATAGCTTGTGTGTCTAGCTTGCTGCTGCTGAAGTCTCCTTTCCACGATACATGGGGAGAAGAGAAGACAGCAACAGCAGCAGCTTCGAGGGCCCCAGCCCGTATGAGGTCCGTCATAGATAGAGCAGAGCCGCTTATATAGCAGCAGCAGCGGGAGTATGCATGCAAGTCTAGGGGACTCACTGTACGGGGCTGGTGCGGGCTCAATACTAATACATTATACACCCCGTTCTGCAGCAGCGAGTGAAGAAATATACGCAGACCCCGCGGCCACCCACACACCAGCACAACAGCAGCAGCAGGGGTATCGAACACCACCCGCCGGGCCTCAGCCAGAGACAATACTGCACGCAAACCACCCAAATGCTGCTGCTGCTGCTGCTGCTGCTGCTGATGATGGGGCTGATGGGGGGGGGGAGAGGGGAGGAGCTGCGGAGAGAGGGGGTGCGTGGGGGGGCACTGAGGAGGATGGGTAGGAGATAAAGCAGCAGCAGCAGCAGCAGTAGCAGCAGAAGGCTTCGGGGGGATTCCTGCTGCTTCTGCTGCTGCTGCTGCTGCTGCTGTTGCTGCTGCTGCTGCAGAGCCTGCTGTAGTCAGACGACCACGTAATGCAAAGGAGACAGAGCCACCAGCAGCAGCTAAGTTGGTGCTGCTGCTGCTGCTGTTGCTGTTGCTGCTGCTGTTGCTGTTGCCACGCAGATACTCCCCACATGTCATGTGTCTGCCTGAGCCCCTCCTGAGGTTTGTTCGTATGGATGCTGGTGCTGCTGCTGCATGCGGCGGTGCTGCTGGTGCTGCTGCTGCTGCTGTCGGTGCTGCTGCTGCTGCTGCTGTCGGTGCTGCTGCTGCTGTGGTTGCCGTCATATTATCGAAGGAAAGAGTTGCTGCTGGGGTCTGCTGCAGTGCTGCTGCAGCAGAAGCAGCAGAACTATCCTCCATAGAGTGTAGCGAGGGGCTCTCCTGCAGCGGCTGCAGCCGCTGCTGCCACCGAGCAAAGGAGACAGCACCAGGCCCCCCACGCAAAGGAGACACTTCAGCTGCGTATACACACAAAAGGAGACACTTCAGCTGTATATACACACAAAAGGAGACAGACGAGATGCATATATATATATATATATATATATATATATATATATATATATATATATATATATATATATATAT